TTCTGGAGTTTGGGGCCCCCTTCTCCCTGGCTTTTGGGCTGGACTCTCAGCAAAACTAATTCGTCCCTCCAGCCCAGCTCATCACAGCCTCCCCGTGAAGCCTTGCTCTTTAATTATACTTTAATGTGAATTGATCTTCCCATTAATGAGCCTGTAAAGAAGACTGATTGGGCCACCTTTTTCCAGAGGGCTTGCTCGGCACACGGAGAGTTAAGGATTGCTTTTGATTTGACTTTCCCAGCAGATCCAGCCAAGGAAAGCTCCCTGCATCCTTCCCTTCCCAGCCTGGGGCTCCCGCATCCCGGCCCAGTGCTCCTTCCACTTAACTTGCTTCGAGTGGGGTCACAGACAGGACACCAGGTTTCCTTCCAGCCAGGTTTTACTCTCCGGAAGTTACAATAAAGAGATGTTAACTACTCCATCCCTTCTATTTAATCAGTTTCTCTGCAGTGAAGAGGCCACAGCAAAATACACAGCTGTGTAGTTATATCCACCTCTGATATTTTCACTTAAATTATTCATATTCTCAGTCTTTCAGGTACCTTTGCTAACATGAGAGAAAAATATTTTCCTCGAAAGGGAAAAAAAACCAGATTACGTTTCAGATTCCTGGTGCCAGGGGCCTGGGAGGAAGGGGCCAGTAGAAGTGATTGCTTAGGGGGAATGGGGTGTTGAGGGGTGCACAGCACTGAGAATGTACTAAAAGCTGCTGAAGGGCACACTTTAAAATAGTTAAAACAGTGTTTTATGTTGTGTTAGTTTTTTTCTCAAAAAGAAAGTTTTCAGCAAAGTGTTTTTCAAGATTCAAAGTGAAAGGTATTTCAATGTGTTTTCAAATGCAACATAAACTGAAGGGTTTTAATAGCACAATTACAATGTCACAGGCAACTGCAATGTATCTTAATCCAAACCTCCTACCCGATCCAGGCCAAAGGTAGGGGAGAAGGAGCGACCAGGAGTGGTTATGGGACAGGGTCTAAAACACATCAACTGGAAAAGAAGTTATATGGACAAAGCCAAGGGCCTTATGGGAAACATGCTGCAGCTAATACGCATGAGACAAAGAACCGCCCTGCTTTAAAACTAAAGTCGATTTTACAGCAAGCTTTTTCACTCCTAGGACTGAAAAAGAAAACCCAACCATTTCCACTGGAACCAATCTTCTCAGCGATACAAGAGCAGTAACACCACAGGAAAAGCGGAAATTTTTCTTCCCCAGAAATGTCACTTACGCATCACACAAAATTACTGTTGCTGTGGGAATTGTAACTTGAGTTTCCTGGACTTCAAATTTAAAAAAAAAAAAAACCCTCAAACGTGAAAATCTACCGGCAGATTCTGCCCCCGTTAAACAAAAGTCTGTTTTTCTTCTTCTAAGAACTATTTTATCAAATTTAGCTCCCTTGCTCCAACCCAATCCTATTAAAAGCTTTCCTTGAGTTTAATGCTTTTTTGTTATTAAGGACAAATGGCTTTGGTATTATCCTTAGAATACGATGCAAATAAAAATCTGCTCTTTGACAAATACTTTAATTGAATTAGATTCCTTTAAGCAAAAAGTATTAACCTATTTTCCTGAATGACTCCAGGTCCTCAAACTCTCAAAAACTGTGTCTTGAGGCCCTGATAGTAAAGTTGGACTCGAGACAAACCCCTTTTCCATGCAGTCCTCCCCACTATGACCTCAGTGAAACAGGGTGCTGCCGTCCGGGGGATCAGCGCTCTGTCGTGTGAGCTCTGTCGTGTCAGGCTTACTGACACGGACTTGGGAGACAGAACACCAAACACAGAGATGGAGAGCTGACCTCAACCAGCAAACAAAATCCTGAGGCAAAAAAGTCCCTAATTACAGGTGTCTGAGCTGAAAACCACAAAGCTGCTACCTCTCCTAAAAGACAGAATGCAGCAACTGTGGTAACGGTACAGCCGCATCAGTATTTCTTTTGTGACATTACTGTCCCAACTCTTAGTTTCCGAGTCACGGAAGGAATGTGAAAGCTGCAAGAGTTCTTGTACCATGTGTTTCAAACCCTTCATTTCAACAAATGAGAAAAAAATGGCAGTTTGTCCCAGGGCACGTCATCAGAGACACAGCTGGATACATGCCTGGTCCCCCCTATCCCTGGCACCTGCCCATAACCTTGTCCCCAGAAACTTGTCCCCGCTCCTCTAACTCACATGGCCTCAGCCATCTGGTCCCTTTCCACATTCTGATTATTTATCTCATCCTCCTCCTGCCCACAAATGAGACAATCTGGAGACTAAGGGCTCTTGATGGGAACATTTATTAAGCTCACTGACCAACCACATTTGCACACAGTGTGGCAGGAGCCTCCCACACGAGATGGCATTATATCTTTTTGAGGTCCCGCTGGGACAGCCTCAGGGCCCCAACTGCAGGGGCACAGCAGGGACCCACTAAATGTTTGTTGAATATGTGATACCTTTTAATGCTATGGTTCTGAAAAGCCACAAAACACACCAGCAAAACATGCTCTTCAAAGCCGGAATGGCTGGAATCATCACGTGGCTGGAGATGCCAGGCTCATCCCCCATGCAGGTCAAGGTGAGGAAGTAGTAATGTTCAGCTGTCGCCTGCTCTGCTATTTTCTCCCCTGTCCCTTGCATGATCCACTTGGGAAATATGGGAAGGCATGAAGGATGACAGCAAAATTATCTACAATCCTGCTGCCCCGATGTCATGCTGCTAGCCCAACTCTGCAGGCACTAAACCCAGGTATCTAAGACCAGAGGCCCACAGAAAAAAGGAAGATAAAGACACTTCGGTGTTTGTAGTTTCAGAGAAATCACTGATCAAGCCCGATGGAGACCAGCTTCAGGCCAGAGGTGATATCTGCCAATACTAACCTGCATTTTCCAAACTGAATCAAAAGCGGGAGGGAGTCTTTTTTTTTTTCCTACTTTACATATTTTAACGCTGTCTAATGGAATAGCAGGAACAAGGCCAGCCAACCCCACTGCTCCGGGCACTTGGGCCAAGGAACAGAAATGTATTTTTAGTCATCGGAGCAAGGCGTGATTCAAAGTGCCCCAGGCCCTGGGGGCAAGCTGGGGGCCCTGCCCGTGGCTGGCTCAGGGCGGGTCCACATCACCTGCCACACTCTTGCACCCAGTGCGGGGGGTGGGGGTGGGGGTGATGATGAAGGAGCAGCACGTGGGCACCTGTGTCCAGTCCCTGCTTCACCTCGTGATTTTGCAACTTCCAGGAACTCGGGCAGCCTCCGTTTCCTGTCTGGTAACACAAAGATGCTCTCTGTGGCCCTGGCTTCCCAACCAAGTGAGGAGCAAGAGGAGGGAATGCAGTGTTTCTCAAACTTGAATAAGTGGGCAAATGGCCGGTGGACCTTGTTAAGGCAGCTTGTGATCCAGTGGGGCTACTATGAGGTCTGAGATCCTGCATTTCTAATGAGCTCAGGGCTGATGCGATACTGCTGGTCCAGAAACTGTCCTTTAAATAGCGAGGAATAAAAGCATCTTCTGATGCACTGCTCTGTGAGCACACCAGGGATGGATATGTCCCCAGGTGGCCTCACATACGGGTGACTCATTTAATTCAACCAGCAATAAAACACCTTCCAGATGCCAGACACACAGGCTAAATGGACAGAATAAGCAGGTCAGATCCTTGACTGTTACCTTTGGGACGATAAGCTACAACCTTCATTCTCACAATTCACAGGTATGAGAAATGATGCTCAGGTTCTGCGGCCTTAAGGGTGAGATCATGCCAAGGTCCAAGGGGCCAGGTGACAACTAAGCACCAGCCAGCAGCAGGAGCCACCATCTGTCAATCACCCACTATGGGTCACGCAGGGCACCAGGACCTTCCTGTAGATCGTACACCCCTAGAACCCCGGGCTCACTTTCCCTATGTGTACAACAGGCCAAGAACACATTCTGTAAATGAGGAAAATGAGGTTCAGAGAGATGAAGCTGTCCAGAACTGGGCTACGATTCTAACCCCTGCTCCCCAGCCGCACAGTGCCTTGCAAAAGGTTAAGCCCAAGATCATGTTTCACAAGGACACGGCATCTTCTGAATGCTGGGCCCGTGGCCAGCAAAAATTGGAGACCTGCAAGCTACACCAGCCAGTGGACGGATGACGCCTTCCCGCCAAGTCCCTGTGCTCAGCTCAGTGTCGAGAAAAGATCTGGACAGGTGCACCGAAGACATCTGACGCCAGCAAAATCAAGAACAAATAGAATCAGGCAGGGCGGAAGTGGACAAGGAAATGCAGCATGAAGAAGGAGCTGGGGGAGTGGCCAATAAAATCTAGTCTAGAAAACTGTTGGACTCATGACTGGTTTATCTGGAAAGACCTCTGGGCGAGTTCTAAACAACGGAGCACCTGCACCTGACAGCCACAGAAGGCGGGTAACTCATGGAGCTTAACTACCCAGCAGAGGCTCGTCACAGCTCTGCCGATGACAGTGCCCCCCACCCCCAACCCCAGTGCCCTCCTTTCTTTCTCATTCAAGTCCCTTGATACCATTTTTCATTTCCAGTGCGTTGTCTATAATGATTGATAGGTTGCGTGTTGTCTAACACTTGACCTGACAGTGAATACCTTACTTTTACGTTGATTTCAGAGGCCTGAGAGCTTCTTTTTTAAGTCATGAAAGTCATGGCCACATGGATGAGTTTGCTGTCTTGTAATTCACACAGCTTCTTCAAGTCTGACTTACTCACCCGAATTGCAGCTTACCTGCTAGGACCAAGAAATTTAATTCTATGCAACCTCTAGGGATTAAAAAGCCGTATTTTCCCCTAAGTGAGAGATGAGATAAAACTTGCAGGTTTGAATTCTTTGTACCCCACAACGGCCAGCAGGACATTGTCACAATCATTAGCACTCCATGGAGAAAGGACCGTTTTCACCAGCGAGCCCAGAGACACAAGTTTTCCTGCCACCAAAGGTCAGCAGGACAACAGCATGGCCTCACCAAACAGCCCAGGGTCTCCCGAACGGGGCCACTTACAGAAAGAGAGACACGATGTGAGACGAAGCAGCGCCCAGGGACGGTACAGTCATCAACTCATTGTTATTGAGGTACCTGTAGGGGCAACGAGAAGAAACGGACCATTTAGATCATTTACATTAGTGGTACGAACTCATATACAT